TTTCCTAAAAACTTGGAAAGTATAAATGCATTTAAAGTTGCCTTTATCATTATGTGCTCATTTATTTATTTTGTAATACTTCTAATAAGCTATTGAATGCCTTTAGAAGGCAGCTCATATTTTATACTTCCTCAAAGCCAAATTTTACTCTCTATGTTGTCCTTTTATCCAAATTGGCCTTTAATGATACAATCATCAATAAACTTAATGAGTTTGCATTCCATAAATCATTAATTAATTTAATTTAGATTATTTTTTCTGAGAGGGACTGGAGTCCCATATGTTGATTAAGACTGAGAAAAACAAAGTAACTTGAAACTTAGGGAAGTAGTATGGGGGAAGCTTTTGACCCCAACTACAAATGAAAGAGATAAATCCTTTGCTGTGGTTTTAAGTAGTGTGGCGCCTAAACAGCATGATAAATGTGCTGACATTCACAGGGACCCTAGTTAGAGCCAAGATATCTTAATGCACTCCCTGGCATCTCAGAACACACAGCCTCTATATGAAGGACCCCTCAGTTAATGGTGAAATGCAGCAGACCATATGGGTCACAGCTTTCTTACAGCATCTGGAGAACTTTTGTTCTCATCATTTCTCTGCTCATCTTTCCTCCCACTTCTCTTCTCACTCATGCCTTCTGGTTACCATTTGCAAGAACAGAACAATAAAGATGTTTAGACCTAATTTTATGCTCATAACGAGGGTTCCTAAACAAAAGTAACTGGTGTCCTTCCTTCCATAACATGAATATATTCATTCACTCTTATGTTTATTTTCAGAGAAAATGGGTTGTGAACATAGGCATAATAGGTATATTAATTTCTTCTTAATATTGAACTTGAAAGCATTTATGACACAAAAATTTTAACTTTCAGAAATAATATTTAAAGAATAAAAATTGGGAGTTGGTGAGATGACTCAGTGGGTTAAGATGCTTGCTGCCAAGATTGGGGATGTAAGTTTGATTTTTGGAACCTATAAGGTGGAGTCAGAAAATTGACTCTTGACAATGGTTCTCTGGTGACTTGAGCACCATGAACTGGCCATTTCCCCCACCAATTAAATAAATTAATTGTATTAAATTTTTTAAAGAGGAAAAAATTAAAATCATTAATGCTTTTTGGAGGTCATTAAGATCCACAGCTATTTTAGTAAAGGATTTTAAGAAAAATAACTGAAAGACTCAGAGACTATAGTTGATTTTCATCTGGTTAAGAAGTGCATTGGCAATTAATAATGATGTATTAGGTATTCTTAGAATATTTTCTGTGTGAAAAATGTTGTTAATGGAACACAGCCAATAATTTTAATGGTAGATGTATCAGAATAGTTTTGAGGATTTTTATTTTAAAACTATTAAGCCAATTGGAAGCAAGTTAAGTCTCCATAAGATCTGTAATATGTTGAACTCATGTGGATTGAACACTGATCTTAAGTTCAAATGATACATTTTAATTCCATGTGAAAACACTAGCTTGGGAAAGTTCTGTTCCAAAGTTTAGTCTTCTCTCAAAGTAAAACTTATAATGGTTACTGTATCTGAATTTATTTTAAAATGTTTACCAAGTTGTAGCTTCATACATTTTTTTTAATCAAGCAAAATCTGAGTCCATATTTGTGAAAAAGATTTAATTAATAAGTTCATCCTATTGGTGAAAAAACCACATTTGTAAATCATAATTTTGTTGTATTTTATTTTAAAATTATTTTAGTTTAACTATGTTTTATTCAAAATATTAATACACTTAGAACAATTTTATATGTCCATGTTCAATGAAATTATTTCCATTTTATGATGTTTACTTTTATATTGAGCTATACATTTTTCTCTGCTTCCCTCCTTTCTTTTTTCCTCCCATTCAACCCTCTTCCATTGTCCCCATGCTCCCAACTTACTCAGGAGATCTTGTCTTTTTCTACTTCTCATGTAGATTAGATCCATGTATGTCCCTCTTAGGGTCCTCATTGTTGCCTAGGTTCTCTGAGATTATGAACTGCAGGCTGGTTTTCTTTGCTTTATGTCTAAAAGCCACTTATGAGTGAGTACATATGATATTTGTCTTTCTGAGTCTGTGTTACCTCACTCAACATGATGTTTTCTACATCCATCTATTTGCCTACAAATTTCAAAATGTCATTATTGCTTTCTGCTGTGTAATACTACATTGTGTAAATGTACCACATTTTCCTTATCCATTTTTTCGTCGAGGGGTATTTGGGTTGTTTACAGGTTCTGACTATGACAAACAATGCTGCTATCAACATAGTTGAGCACATGTCCTTGTGGTATGATTGACCATCCTTTGAGTATATACCCAAAAGTGGTATTGCTGCATTCAGAGGCATTAGTGAATTAAAGTCATATGTAGAATAAAAGAAAAATATCATTAATTCCTTATGTGATAGATACCATATACTATAAATGGTTAGGTTATTTCTATTACGTTTATTCTGTGAGACAGTAAGTTTAAAATACCTATTATACTTAAATCTAAAACAACAGGATACACTTGAGAAATATGGCTTATTGTCTCAATTAAACAATACTGGAAGATTTGTTTGAATAATATTCCCAGGGTAAGAACAAAACTCTTGAGAACCCAATCTCGTTAGGGGCAATGTTTCTAAAAGCAGAAAAGTTTTCAATAATCCCTAAATATCTGTAAAACTCTTTAGACTTAATGTTGCAAATACAAACTGTTTTTCTTGTTATTAAAATCTTATATTGACATCATTATATAACTGTATCAAATGTTGTTTATTATATCAGAAGAGATTGCTTGCAATTTCCATTAACCCAATTTTCAAAACAGTATATGTTCACTTTAGAAATTTGCAATTGGACAGGAAAGGATAAAGTCAACAATTAAAGGGATACTTATAATCCCATTTAGTTATAATCATCTTAATTTAATTTTCATTTGTGTATTCACATAGGTATCTCTGTATATGAATATTTATACTAATTTATGTCTTTTTTCCATAGCCAAACTGTATCCAGTTTTATTAAAGACACTTTCCACAAAGAATGATAGTTTTACAGACAAGATACAAGCAGACAATCACTAACTGTATTCAAGAATTTCCATACTCTCTTCTTTCGATTCTACGAAAATCAGAAAACTTCTGAGAAACCCGATGAAACTTCATTCAGCTCTGAAAAGCTGGAGAGCGTAGAGTGAGGGCTGACATTTCACAATGCAGATGTTGTTTAGCAACTTTTCACAAGCTGACCCCGACTTTCAGGACATCAAAAGAAAACGGCAAACTTATCAATCTGAAGATCCACAGTCTTCTATAAAAGGAACCACTGCTCTTTTGAGGACACACAGCGATGTCACTGCAAAGTCCAGATTGCCCAATAGGCTGGCAAAACTAATTTGGGGGGATCATGTTCCAACAGGTCTCTTGTCTTAAAGGAGTTAAGTGTCTATTGATGGTACAGAATGATAGAAAAATGAATTTCGTTTTCCCACAAAAAGCATGTTGTGCCATGATGGACATGTAAGTCAACACCAGGATGTGTCTCCTGAGAGCCAAGAGAAGTCTTTCAAAATTATCAGGGAACGATGTTTTCCATCAAACATTATCAATCCAGTTTGGGAGACATTGTTCGTTGCACATGTTTCTTCCCACCCACCCCCATGCACCTAAACAATGAAGTGTTCTGTGTGCTAACATGATAGTTTTTAAAAAGTAAAACAAAATTCTGCATTTTTGTAAAACTTGGTAAAAATAGTATTACAGACTGTACAGACAACAGAAGCACATATCAAAAATGCCCACATTTCACTTGGCATCTCCAGGTCCTTCAACTTTTTTGCTCTCCATTTTCTGCAAGATAATTCGCATCCTCCCCTGCATCGCCGTTCCCATTCTTCCCCTTCGGTACCTTCTCTCCCTTCTTTGCAGGGGCCTTTTCAGGCTAACGCTCTGGCTTGGAGGAACAGGCTTAGCAAACAACCGTGTAGATCTTCTTTGTGGCTTGGGCTTTACCTTGACTTTGTCTCCTTTAGAATCCCTTCCAGCTTTTCTTTGGGGCATGGGGCGGCGGTGGGGGCCACAGCAATGCAGCAGTGTGCGGGTTTGGTCCGTCCGGGGTTGTCTCGCTGCTTCTTCACACTGTTCCATACTTATGTCTTAATAGAACAGTTTTGTGAAGTTGTGAACATTTTGGTGATGTACAAGAACTATTTCTCAGATTGCATGTCATTTCAACTCCTGTGGTTTTGGATCCTGTCCTTCTAACTGTGAGATCTTGACAAGGCTAACGAATCCTAAGTCCCTGCCTACCAATCTGGACAGTGCTAAAATAACAGTAAGTCTGTCTCATCAACGTATAGAGATCATCCACAGAAACATCAATTTTGTCTTTTTTTTTTTTGTCTTTTAGGTTTTTAAAGACAGTGTAGTCCTGCCTGAATTTCCTGGAACTAGCTCTGCAGACCAGGTTAGCCTCAAACTTCAAGATCTCCTGCCCCTGCCTCCTGAGTACTGGGTTAAATTTGTTTTAATGGCAGCTTGCTGGGTTGTCAAGTGTTAGATGTGTTCTTTCAACAAATAGGTTATTTCCTACAGAATTCTCAGAGGAAACAGATACATGGTCATATGTTTTAGAAAGTGTGTGATACTTCAATTGTTACTAAAGCTCTTTATATAAAGCAATTAGACCATGAAGGAAGAACTTCCCAGGAAGCACAAAGATAAAAACCAACTACACTTAGAAAGTGGTTTATGAAAAATTGTGCACTATGTATTGATCTGTTTAAGTGGACATTCTTCTTTGTGATATCTGCTTCTTATAGATAGTCTCTGTTGTCTGTCAACACGAAAGAGATCATAACTTTCATCTTTCTAATTTATGTTTTCAAAAGTGTGATCAAGATTTTGAACTGGTTACTAGATTTGTGGATGGAAATATAACAGGTTAATGAAGCATGAAACAGTGTTCAAATTGTCATTCCTAGTCTAACACTGAAGTTAATATTTTACTGGCTCTCGTGTTTTCCTGTTCATGCTTACTGAATCCCTTAAATCTCATGATTCAAAGAAATTAATTAACTGGGTTACTATGTGTAAGCATGTCATTTCTGAGAATTAATGTTTCTATAATGATATCTATGTCATTTGTTGCATTGACTAATATTACGGGACAAGGTTGAACCACAAGATTTAGTTAATTTTTAAACATCTCGATCATCTATTATAGATGTGGGAACTTGAGCCTTCTCAAAGGTCAAATGGTGAAATTCCCATGGAAGATTATGGATGAATTTTGTAAGTATCACATGATGTTTCTCAATTTCTTCCTTTTCTATAAAGTTTTCATTGAGCACATAATTCACAAGCAAATGACCTTGACTACCTTCTACACCTTGTTCTTCTGTCTCTATACCTATATGAATGTTTTCAGTGTTGTTAGCTCACCCTCTCTCAGGTTCCCTTTCACATGGGTTATTTAATATAAGAAAGACCACATGAAACACCATCATCGAATACTACAACCTTATGTTAATCATATCATCTTTCATTCAAAGGCTCAAACAGTGAAGTAAGTCTACTGTCTAAATATAGTTTTGGTTTTTAGTGTTTTGAAAATATCTAGAAGATTAATTTGAAATACTATGATCAAACAGTCAAAACTATCTGAAAGCAATATTAAGCAGATAAGAGATCCCAAGTATTAGAGTGTTGATTCCCATTTTGCTTCTTTTTTCCTAGAATATCTCTGGTAGATTTTCTTCTAATTTATATACTGACAGAAATATTTTATTTTTCTTTGTATCCTGAATATGTTTCCTCACCTATAAGAGTATTATAAACACTAGTTCAATATGGAAACAAGAAAATAAATTACTAAATTTACCTTGAATGTGGAATTGTTTGAATATCCTGATAAATGGTACTTAACATATTTAAACTCAGAGTCAGGAATCTCCCTATTACATTTTTCATGCATCATCCCTTAGAGCACTAAGTCCTACTTCCTAATTGTTTGGAGATTGGGGAAGAGAGGTAATTGCATTTCGAATTAATTTTATTACACCATTCATTTCAAGATGTCAAGAAAATTAAATTACTTAAGTACTGACAAGATTGTTCTAAGGGCACTTTGCGTCAAGGTTGTTGATCTGGATTTAATCCCTTCTAATCAGTTGGTAGGAGGAAGACACCGACTTCTAAATGCTATCCTCTACATGAACACCATAATGATTTTGCACTGCCTCCAACCTGTAAACACACACACACAGACACACACACACACACACACACACACACACACACAGACACACACACACAGACAGACAGACAGACACACACACACACACACACACACACCCCACAGGCAAACAAATCAATAAATGTAAAGCATTTTAAATTGTTTAACATGCAGAAGACATTCTTGTTAGTTCGAGGCTCATGTTTTCTGCTCGTTATCTGGCAGTTCAATGCTGAGCCAGCTCAGGTGTGAGGCAGGCTTCTCTTCAGATTAGCAGTCTGCAGAAGAGACAGGCAGTGAGCACCAGGTGGAAGGCGCTATGAATGTGTGGAGTGTGGAGTGCTTAGAATGGTTCCTTTCCCACCATGCCTACCTAACTCTCCCCTACTCTACTATTCTGCAGCTCCTTTCCACTAATGCTCCAGTTACTGTGGGACCACCCAAGAGGAATTTGTGCTCAAAAGTGCATGGAAGAATGGCAGCTGGAAATCATGCAGGTGAGTTCCCGCGTCCACACTAGGGGAGGGTGTGTGGGGGGGGCTGAGTGTCTTACCAGCTTTCTACGTGGACCTTTAAGTTGTATCAAGTCATCTGAACCTTCTCAAGCTCTCCAAAACTAAGAAGTCCAGACTAAGTGCTGATGTTTACTTTGTTTTTTCTTTCTCATCACTGACAACATCTTGATTTATCTGAGACCTTCACCACTGGACTTACTCAGGTGTTAGTTAAATCATGGGTTAGTTAAGTTTTGGTAAGCTGTCTTTGTTCTCATTTCAAGAGTATGTTGGAAGTAGGTCATTTAATATAAAAGAAAAAATATTAATTATTTTTTACTTTTTCTTAATATAAAAAAGAAAATTTGATAAATATATTAGATAAAGAAGTTTATGGATGTTGGTAACTAGGTATCTGATTTTATTCCCTTTTTTCTTTTCTTTTACTTTTTGGCAGCGATAGTATTTAAAAATTAGTAAATGATAGTTGTTTCTAGATTCAGTAAAACCAATCACCTTCAAGGAAGTCAACTTCAGGAGGAATACTATACAGAGGTCAGTAAACCTGGGAAATTCTTATACCACAAGAACTTTAATAAAGTTAGAGAAAAGAGTGGCTACAAGAAACCAGCCTTTGGTAGAGAGATAGAGTCATCAACTCAGAGAAAGGACCCAGCGAGATATATAACTTATGTCATTCTTGTCCCTCGCCACAGTCTATGGGAATTCCCGTTACTGAACCCTACTGATGTTACACAAAGAAAGAGCACCTTCTTTTATGCCCATGAGTGACTTGAAAGGGAAATCCCAGTGTTTTCCCGAAAAGGCTTTGAGGAGAAGGAGAACAGAAAGTAGAAAATGAATAATTAACACCGCACTCTCTGCTTCAGCTCCCATTCCTGATGAGTCATCATGCCTAATTTGAATAAGAGTCACTTTTCCCATTCCCTGGACCATTTCATTTTACCTCTTCCAGTACCTCAGCTGAGTGGTGTTTTACAGGGGTGGAACTGATCCTGAATGGACTACAACCATTGCCCCATTTTCAATGTGTTGTTTTTATGTCTATTGCCTAAAAATCTTGGTAGGAATGTAACAAGAAGCACTTGAGAAAGTCTCTTGGGTGGTATTCATAGATTTACTTGTTCTAGTAGGGTAGCAGGAATTCACTCGCACTGTGCCTTGAGTCATATGAGGAAGAATGCCTTAGCCTTTAATGAAACAGAATATGACTGTGTGATCTGATGGAAGTACTGCTGTATTAGGGAATATGCCCTCAAAACTGTGGTTGTCAGAAGTAAAAATACCAGTGAATTATTGTGCGAGTGGTAAGAAGACTTCATTTTGTGATCATAATGTTGTTCCTTGTCTGATAACTTCTGATTATATTAGTGATATAACATAATATAGTAATTAATAAATTCTGTATTGCAGGTTACTTTGCTACTTAAAATAGTCTATAAGATACAGTTATAACCTGGAAGACTGCTTATTCCACTTCGTTAGTCACCTGAAGCTTTAGTTGATCATGATATTGTTATATCAAGTTTGTCACACTTTTGCCTTATGGGATCACAATAAAATCAATAAAATTTCTGGTGATCATCCAATTGCTCTACTTTCTATGTTTTAAATGTGTTCCATTTGGGAGATGATATTTGAGTTTCAAAGTTGATGGAGGAAGTAAACAAAAGATATCTTCTCAGAGGCAGTATAGAGCAAGAAAAATGAGGATCAGATGGATAAAGACCAATTAAGGATAATTGGGCACATGAGAAAGTTTTACTGATTGGCAGTATAGAAAGATACTGAATTAAATTATTGTATCAATATTATCATTATTAAAAACAATTTGGGTTATTGTTAAAAAGCAAATGTTAACACAGATATAAATAATAATAAGTTAACTAAGATATCATAAGAGCAACTTTCTTAGTTACTTTTCTATTGCTGTGACCAAAGAAATTCATAAAAGAAAGAAATTATTTGAGGGTTTGCTTACAGTTTCAGAGGATTGAGTCCATGACCACCATGGCAGAGAACATGACAGCAAGAAATTAGATATGGTACCAGGGCAATAACTGAGAACTTACATATTGAGACAACAACCAGGAGGTAGAAAGGGAGAGCTGAATGTTGGGGCTTTTGAAACCTCAAGTCGCATTCTCAATGACAAATCTCTTTCCACAAAGCCACACCTCCAAATCCTTGCCAACCTATTCCATGAGCTGGGGACAAATCATTGAAATGTATGAGGCTATGTGGACCATTCTTATTTAAACCTCCACACTAACTAATAAGTAACATAATAATAATATGGATTTGAGTATAAACGTAGTTGCATTAAATTGTATTCAAAGAATGTAGACCAGGAGTTTCCATATACTAACCAAAGAAATCTGATATTCAGTCATCTGAACATCTACCCTGAACATCTATCTATATAAGATACCAAGCATAGAGGAATGAAAAGTGAAGGTACCAGTGGTCTCACTACTTAAAAGCCACTCAAATTAGTAGTTATTCCTATGCACCAAGGAAGAAGAAAAATGATTCAATATTCCAAAATGGGAAGGTCTAGATCAATTTCACAAAATATTTTACTCTGAGTATTATCTAAACACACACTGGACTATGAAAGTATTATCTAAGCATACAATAGAGTAAGAAAGAAAGTATTATCTAAGCATACAATAGAGTAAGAAAGAAAGAAAGAAGTAGAACTAAAGAAAAGAGTACCAATAGCGCAGAATGACATATTTAGGGTAATAGTTCGGTACAGCTGTCAGAGAGTGCGTAAGGACAGACAGAATATCAGGTAGTGAAAACACAAGAGACAGAAGGCCAGTGCAATTGTCTTCTGTTTTTCTTTCCATTAAAATATACAAATGACTGGCATATGGAGGTTCATGGAATCTGGACCTTTGAGAATTTGGTAAACCATGGGCAATTTCTCTTCCTTCTAATTTAGCATCACCTGTCAACTTGGTATAGGGTAGAGACATCTAAGAGGAAAGTCTTGATAAGGAGATTCTTTAGATCAAATTGTTCCGTGGACATGCCTATGTGTGCTATCTTGATTGTTACAGTGTGAGAAGTTCTCTCTGGGCAGTACCATTCCCTGGGAAGATGGTCCTGGGCTGTACAGAAAAGCTGGATGGGTGTGAGATGGGGGAAACAGCAAGTACTCCTTCACTGTTTCTTCTTCAAGTACTTGCTTGAGTCCCTGCTATGACTTCCCTAAATGAAGGACTGTGACCATGAGTTGTAAGACATATAACTCCTTGTGCTGTAAGTTGTTCTGGTCAGAGTATTTTCTCACAGCAACAGAAATTATAACTAGAAATCCTTCTATTGCACATTGTAACAGCAAAAGTTTTGATTATGAGATAAAAATTATATGTATAGTCAGTCCCTTATCATTAAAAAATGGAGTCACCTGGGCCTCTCTAGAAATTATACATATAAATCATCCAGGTTTCTGAAAGTTTAAGTGTATTTTCATGATGCTTTCTAAATCACACATGCGCACACACACACACACACACACACACACACACACACACACACAACTCTGTATGATTATATTGCATGGCAATTTATGTGAATTATTTTAATTTATTAGGTAATGAAGAATCCCACTAATTTTTTTTTTCAAGTCTCTCACACTCCTAACTTTATTCTATCCTAAATTCTAAGGTCCAGTAAGCACAAAAAATTGTGTCATTTTTGGAAGGACATGTGAAAATTGTTCATCATTTTTTATATTTTTATTTGACAAGAGAGTGAGTAGAGTCCCGAGGGCCCAATTATGAGACATTTGGCCACAGTCTCATTTCTAACGTGAGCCTGAGAACAAACAGTTCAAGTACATACACGACATAGTCCTAGTCTTTTCTTTCTCTTGTTTTGGCAAGGTTGCATAAATGTTTTCAGCGACTGTTGTATTTTTCTGTTTTTATTTTTTCTACTACTGCTGGTAACAGAATATGCATACTTTATTCTCTGATTTAATTTCTCTTGCATAAAAATGCATTTTGTGCAGCGACAGAGCAGAATTGACATATAAGGACAAAAATCAATACCACTGTGGTCTGAGAGCTATGAATCAAGTTTTCTTATTTATTTACACACTATTACCTGAACTAAGAACTAAAATCATTGTGGCACGCATCACTTGTATGCATGTCCATGCACCCATATGTGTGTTCATATGCACTAGCAGTGTCCATGCACTATTAATCAGCTTTATTTTTCAAGTGTTAATAAAATCAAGAGGATTTGCAGCTCGAACATGACATGCATCAGGAGCAATTCTCAAAACAACAACAAAATGATGTTATTCATCGATTTTCCCTTTTGAACTTGGACGTTTTATGTAACAACTGACTTTCCCAACCTTCTCCCTTGTGAATGGTGGTTGCACTCTTTAGAGCAGTCTGAGATGAAGTAAGATGACATTTGATTTTTTTAATGGAGTTTCAATACTTCCTTTTCATGCCCAATTATGCGGAGAACACAGAATTGTAGTAATATATTTATTTTAAAAAAAGAATGAGGAGTAGAAGTAAACATTTCAAAAGAAAATATCTGATTTTAATTACTTCTTAGGAAAAAATCTTATATCAATAAATCAAGTATATTTGCACATGTACACCAAATATTATCTAGAATACCAGGGTATGATTTTCCTTTATATACAATTTCATTTAACAATATCTTAGTATTCCCACAACATATAAAATTACAATCTTTCAAGATTATATTAAAAATATTTTGAATATAATCCATGGATTATATTCTTTTTCTATTAAAAATTGTTATACTCAGGTCTTCTTTCTCAATTATAATTTCTGTGAAATATATCAGTTTAATGAAACCATATACAACCTAAATCTAATAACATATTTTAGCTGACATAAATTGGCTTAAGGAAATACCTGTGATGGAATTATATACATAAATAAATTATTACATTTCCACTTAAAATACTTTTTACATCC